GGACATGACCGAGCAACAGAACAGAACTGAAAATGACTGTTTGCGGATCACTCTTTCATTGATTGTGGCAGTTTAACTACTGGGAAAAATCAATGGGGGCAAGGCAAGTTCACTCAGCAGCAAATTATGTGCATAAGTGTGGAGGGCTGGCCACGGACAGGCACAGGGCTTGCCTTTATAACAGCAGCTGGCTGCGCCTGGACCCCTCAGCCCCTCTACCTGGGCTCACGTAGCTACAGAAGAGATGTGGAGAGAGAGTCAAGCCCAGTCTACACAAGACACAGAACTTGAAGTTCAACGTTGTGTCATAGCCTCCTGGGGCCACTCTTACAAGCCATCCTCTGCTTTTTAGGGGCTGATTTTTCTCTCATCATGCTTCCTTTTTCACATCCTTGAAAAACATGTGAAGTAGGCATCAGACATGATGTTCTGCAATTTTTATGTCTATTGATTAGTTGAATTTTCACAAGCCCACTTGAGGGAAACGGGCCTCAGAGACGTGTGTGGGAGTTGCTGGTGAGGGGTCCACCCTGCCCTCCTTGTTAGACCAGTGTCCTCTCCCTCATTTAGTGCCACTCTGTAAACATCTGGAGGTCATTAAACAGTGTGCATTTTTGCATGCTAAGTCACTTTAGTTGTGTCCAACATTTTGTGACCTCATGTACTGTAGACCACCAGGCTCCTCTATCCATGGGATTCTCCAGGCAAGAGTACTGGAATGGGTTGCCATGCCCTCCTCCAAGGAATCTTTCCAACCCAGGGATTGAACCTGTGTCTCTTATGTCTCCCGCATTGGAGGTGGGTTCTTATCGCTAGCACCACCTGGGAAGGTCCCATTAAATATCATCATGACCCAATAATGGACCGATGTGAGCCTCCCCAGGCTCATTGAAGCAGGCTCTGTGGGGTGAAGCTGAGGTTTCCTTTTGGTTAAAAACTCTCCCAGGTGATGCAAGTGTGCTGCTTGGCTTGAGGACCACTGTGTAAGACTAGGTGTCTCTCCAAAATGAAAGGTAGAACCAAGGAGAAAAAATAAAAGAAATAAGACTGACATTGATTGAGCACCTACTACAGGCCAAGTGCTTAATCTTATCTTATCCTCCCAGGCAACTGGAAAAGGGTTCCCACTTTACGATGAGAAACTTCTGAGTCACTTAACTATAGAGGTGAAGTAATTTCCCCCAAATCCCAGAGCTCAGAAGTGGCAGAAAGGAGATGCGTGAGCCCAGGCTGTGTTCATGTTGCTACACCACACAGCTAAGGCACACACCTTGGGCCCACACCAAAGACTCAGGAATTAAGCCAGGCTTGTAAGAACTCAAGCTTGGAAGACATTAGAATTTCAGTAGAATGAAACAGCAAGTTATGGGTTTCCAAGGAGAACATTAAGGCAGAGACACCTGGCAGGGAAGAGAAAGATGTGATCCACCACATGAGAGAAAGAGGAGGAAAGAAAAGTGGCAAAGGGTAAGGAAATACTTATACTACACTCACTGTTCTAATTTTCACAACAACCCCGTGCAGTAGGAGCTATAATGGTCTCCTTTCTGCAGATGGGAAAACTGAGACCCAGTGAGCAACACCCTCAAGTCACACCGCTGGTTAAGTGGCATGTTGTTGCTCAGTCACCAAGTCGTGTCCAACTCTTTGTGATCCCACGGACTGCAGCATGCCAGGCTTCCCTGTCCTTCACCATACCCCGGAATTTGCTCAAATTCATGTCCGTTGAGTCGATGATCTATCCAACCATCTCATCCTCTGTCATCCCCTTTTCCTCCTGTCCTCAGTCTTTCCCAGCATCAGGGTCTTTTCCAATGAGTCGGCTCTTCACCTCAGGTGGCCAAATTATTAGAGCTTCCGCTTTAGCCTCAGTCCTTCCAACAAATATTCAGGGTTGATCTCCTTTAGAATTGACTGGTTTGATCTTGTGGCATCAGTGTGGATTCAAAATGCAAGTCAGAGTCCCAACTACATACAGTTTACATTGTCCATCACTTTTCAAAGGAAGAGAAAGAAGGAAAAGCCAAGAGGATTTATTTTGTTTAATGCTGAGGCCAGCACATTCCATTCATTATCTTACTATATCCATAAATTCAACAAATCTCTTGGTCCTTGTGAGGTAACCATGACCTCCAACTTAAGGTACAGAAACAGACTGGCTGTAGTGAAAGTGTCTTGCTTAAGGTCTCCATGAACCTGAAGCAGCAGTTTCAAACCCATGCTCAACAAGGATACTAAAGCCAGCAGTTGTATTAAAATACTAAACGCCCAAACCTAGGGCTGTGCGAAGGGATAAATGAAACATGGGAAAGCTTTGAACTGGATTTCACTACAGTGATTGGAAATTGAGATATGACTGGGTGAGGACATATTTTAATTTTGTTTGGCCAGGGAAAACTGTCAACAGGCAGCAGAAAGTGGTTTGGAAATGAACGTTCTGAATGAATGCCAGGTATTCTGATCTTTACTGGTTATTTGAATTTGGGCCCAGTCACCCGGAGAGAAAGTAAATAGCCAGTATAGACAAGGACTTCCCTTAGTGCCCACCTGGGACTGTAAAATAATAGCAGAGTGGGTCACTTTTCTTTGAGGGGGGAGGTATCCTTGCTTTGTAATGTTGTGTTAGGTCTCTGCTGTACAATGAACTGAATCAGCTGTTTGTGTGCATAGATCTCCTCCAGCTCGGACCTCCCTCCTACCCCCAGTCCCCTGTCCCACCCCGCCAGGTCAGCAGGGGGCCCTGAGCTGAGCTCCCCATCCCACCCCGCCAGGTCAGCAGGGGGCCCTGAGCTGAGTTCCCCGTCCCACCCCGCCAGGTCAGCAGGGGCCCTGAGCCGAGCTCCCCGTGCCACCCCACCAGGTCAGCAGGGGGCCCTGAGCTGAGCTCCCCATCCCACCCCGCCAGGTCAGCAGGGGGCCCTGAGCTGAGTTCCCCGTCCCACCCCGCCAGGTCAGCAGGGGCCCTGAGCCGAGCTCCCCGTGCCACCCCGCCCGGTCAGCAGGGGGCCCTGAGCTGAGTTCCCCGTCCCACCCCGCCAGGTCAGCACAGGCCCTGAGCTGAGCTCCCCGTCCCACCCCGCCAGGTAAGCAGGGGGCCCTGAGCTGAGTTCCCCGCCCCACCCCGCCAGGTCAGCAGGGGGCCCTGAGCTGAGTTCCCCGCCCCACCCCACCAGGTCAGCAGGGGGCCCTGAGCTGAGTTCCCCGTGCCACCCCGCCAGGTTAGCACAGGCCCTGAGCTGAGTTCCCCATCCCACCCCGCCAGGTCAGCAGCGGGCCCTGAGCTGAGTTCCCCGTCCCACCCCGCCAGGTCAGCAGGGGGCCCTGAGCTGAGTTCCCTGTGCGATGCAGCAGCTTCCCCAGGTGGTCGGTTTTACACCGACGTCTGCGGCAGTGCACAGAGGTCAATCCCCATCTCCCAAGCAGCTCACATTTGATTGCATCTGATCCTGAAAACTCAGCTTAAATCATATTCTTTGATCATGACTTTCACTCCCCAACTCTTAACTCCATAAAGTCCATCTTTAATTGAACTTACTTTTGAAGTTACACAGTAATATGTGATTTTTGTTTAAAATAAATGTAAGAAAATAAGTGTAGAAGTGAAAAGGGTAAGTCCCCATAACCATTATCACAATCAGGTGAGTGGTCTTCCAGGGTTCTTTTCTGTACACTTACAGACACCAGTAGGTTGGTATTATCAAAACCATTTTTTGCCCAGCTACATTAGATTCTTTGTTGAATAAACAGTCTTGGTGTATCCCATTCCTATAGGAGTTGGAAGAAGAAAGCTCTTAAAACCAAAATGATTACATTTCAGGCCCAAAGAAAGTATAAAGCAAAGATACCATTTTGGATGAGAGTTGAAATACTCTTTTCTCAATTTGGAGTCAGAAAAAGGATTGAAGCGGCCCCAGTTTGTGTCACTGCAGCCCCTTTTATCACTTTACACAGAGGACGCATTTAACTAGTATTTCTTGAATGAATATAAAATCGTCTCCTTTTACAGATTTCATTTTGGATTAAACAGAGTCAATATAATAAAAAAAAAACATAGAGAAACATGCGTCCCCATGTAAATGTTGTAAGGAGTGCTCCAATGAAAATTAAAAATCTTATTATCATCCGTGTTGGAGTATTCAAGCCAGGATTCACTTCCGCTTTTAATGTAAGTGACATAAAATTAATCCCATTCCTTTTTACCATTTTTGAGTCTTTGAGACTTTGCCGCCTCACTTGCCACATGAATTTTCTTGGAAGGGAGCACTTTTGTTTTCTCAAATGAATTATAAGCTTGGTAAGAGCGGGCAAGTTTCTCACGATTACCTGTGTGTTCTCCTAGCACGCACACGTGTTCCGCACACAGGAGATGTCGAGTATTGTGACTGTATTAGTTTAGTTTGCTAGGAATGCCATGACAAAGTGCCACAAACTGGGTGTCTTAAGCCAGGGAAATGTATTGTCTCACACTCTGGAGGCTAGATCTGAAGCTGAGGTGTTGGCAGGATTCCTTCCTTCGAGGCTCTGACAAAAGGATTTGTTCAGGCCTCTCTTCTTGGCTTGTAAATGGCTGTCTTCTCCTTCTGTCTCTTTGTACTGTCTTTGTCTTCCTCCATACATGTCCATGTCTGTATCCAAAGCTTCCCTTTTTATTTGGACCCCTGTCATATTGAATTAAAGCCCACTCTAATGACCTCATCTTAATTAATTATATCTATAACAATCCTATGTCAAAATAAGGCCCAATTCTGAGGTATCTGGGGCTAGGACTTCGGCATATGAATTTGGGAGAAGGACACAATTCAACCCAGAATAGTGACCGTCCACAGAATCATAAAATTTCAGATGGAGACAAACCCTTAAACTCATTTAGTTTGCCCATCTGATGACTGGATTCTGTCTTACCCCAAGCCAAGAGGAGCGTTTAGAATTTTAATAGTATTTTTGGCAACAGGATTTTAGGGTTGTTTTTGTCTTTTAACATGTCCATGTATGTTTTTCAGAATGGTTCCCACTGCCTAAGCCTCAGAGCCTTCAGACTGTCTTCAACAGGTAAGAATTGCCTTGGAAAGCTTAGCTTTCAGCAGGGCTGAAGGGACATTTCACTCACCCTCAGTCCACTCAACACCCAGCCCCTGAGCACCTTGATCTGGGGGCCCAAACCCCACGAAGATGCCTCTTGAAGAGGCAGCCACCTGTGAGTCTGTTAGTTTTTCTCCATGAACCATTTTACTTTCAGTGAGTTTGGTCATTAAAAGTGTTTTGTGCCCCTCAACCATGCCCGAGGCCCTGAGAACGAGGGAGTGTTGGCCTGTAAGAAAACCTAGTGGGTTTATTATTCTTCGACACAGAGAAACCAAATAACATCATTGAGCAGCTATTGGAAGAGGGGGGCAACGTGATTCATGGAGGTCATGCTTTCCCAGGCCCTCTCTACGCAGTCTCAGCTCAGACCAGGGCAGACTTTTATTACCAGCTTTCAACAAATCCCTAGTTTCTTTTGCAAAGTAAAACAGATAATAGAGACATTCCCGGAATAGTTAGCTAACTAAGCTGTGCCAGGCAACCTCAGGGCTAAGAAGAACTCAGTGTTTTCGGACAATGACCAATTACAATAACCAGTATTATTTGATCTGAGAGTAATTAGCCAAGGCTCTGTTCTTTTTTGCTTCAGTGAGGAGGCAAAAAGGGCAGTGAGGAAAACATCAGAGACAGGGGAAAGAAGCTCAAATGTCAAAGAAAAACACACTCTCGCAGGTGGGGAGAAGGGAAAGACATCCCAACTGAACGTTTGAATGCTATTCTTCCCTGAAAATGTGATAGGGTTTAACCCAGTCAAAGTTTGTTTGATTTTTTTTTCATAGTTACTGTTCGTGTGCTTTAAAAAAGCCTCCATGGAAAGTGAATATCAGAGCACAAAGAGTAAAATAGGTCGGAACACAGAACTGCGGACTAGCAAAGGACCTTTTTTTGGGAGGGACGATTCTCCCCAGGGTATCCCCACGCTCCACTCTTATTTTCAAACGCACTATATCACCTGAAACTCTCCTGTTTGGAGACAGGTTCCAGGGAACTGCTGTTTATCATTTCATCCAAGAAGTACAAACTTTCTCTTGCTAGCATAGTCAGGCTCCCTAACCTCTAGCTAGAGAGATCTGGACTTTAGTTCTGTCCTGTGGCTTTCTTCCATTTCACCACTGGCTTCCAAAATAATGGTAGCTCCAAACCTGCAGACCATCTTACCACTCCATGCTGCTGCTGTTGGCACCGTGGAAAATGGCAGGAAAATCGCTGCAAGCCCCCCACAGTTACCCTACCAGCCCTTCCTTCCAGGCTGAGTGGGATTTGGATTGGCCCAATATCCCTCTGGCTTTTCTGACCATATGCAATACCTCTGCCTTAGCCCAGCAGCCTGAGCTCAGGCTCTTTGCTCAGATTCTCAAAGTAAGGAGTAATGTCTAGAGATGTGCTATTTCATACCATAACCACTAATCACATGTGACTATTTCAATTTAAATTATTTAAAATTAGATTAAAAAAATTGAGTTACTCTACAGATTGATTGTATGGCATGAGAAATTATATCCAATATCTTGTAATAAACTATAATGGAGTAAAATCTTCAAAAGGAAACCCTCCAAACTGAATCACAATGCTATACACCTGAAACAAGTGCAATATTGTAAATCAGTTATACTTCAATTCAAAAAAAACAAAATTAGTTGTTCAGTTGCACTAGCCACATTTGAAAGGCTCACTAGGCACCTGTGAGTAGTGGTTACCGTATGAAATGGGGCAGAACAAGCTATTTCCATCATCAGGGAGCAGGTTGCACTAGCAGTAGAAGAACTTGACTGCCAATGCAGGAGACCCAAGAGATGTGGGTTTGATCTCTGAGTCGGGACGATCCCCTGAAGAAGGACATGGCAACCCACTCCAGTATTCTTGCCTGGAGAATCCTGTGGACAGAGGAGCCTGGCAGGCTACAGTCCATGGAGTCGCAAAGAGTTGGACATGACTGAAGCTACTTAGTTCATCATCACCGAAAGTTTTGTTAGACAGCACTGGCCTAGATTATCACATGAGAAAACTCTTGGCTTTGAGAAGGGTTTTGTCGTTGAAAGGGGACTAACGTTAGGAGGAATGCCCTGGTTTGGGCATATATCCAACTCTACCATCCTATAGTGAAAATGGACTGGTTAAAAATTTTTTCAGATTTCCCCTGATTCTCCTTTGAGACTGATACTGAGTCCTACTGATTTGTACCCGCTAACCCACTCCAGACTCCTATTTCATTGGCCTGAAAACCTGTGGCTGGGCAGGGTACCTGTGATGGAGAAAATATCCGCCAGCCCTTTGGGTTACAATCCCTTAAACCAGCCTCCACCTCTGGTTCCCTTCTCTCCTAACTGGCCTGGAAATTTGCAAGGACTGGGGATTTGCAAATTTCTTCTCTGCCTTAAGTCTGTGAAGCAATTACTCTTGAGTTTGAGCGTAAAGTTCTGTGTTTGCAGAAACAGTGTTACGTCATGGGAATCAAATACCTGAAAGTTTTTATGCAAATCTTATGCAAAAATTAGGCAAATTCCGAGTCAGGGGCAGGGCTTCCAGCATCGCTCATTCATGGTACCTGGGGAGGAAAGGGTATCTGTTGAGGCTTAAGGTTGGTGTGTACATTCAGCATTAAGAAAGCCCATCTGTTTTTGTTTATTTGGGGAGTTGCATGGCAATGCAACTTAGTTCTGAAAGGCATTATTTCTGCAGTTAACTGCCTCTCAGAATCAGCAGTTTTCTGTCTTGTGCTTCCACTTGTAAACCTGTGTGTGGCCTCTAGAGATGGGTGTACTTGAATGATTGGCACTAGATTAGCAAAGACTTTCAGACTTTGTAAGTAAATAGGAAGCATGAAGACCCACAGGGCTTGCAGGGTCAGCCCCTGCCACCCTCCATGGCTTCATAGCAAGCCCCTCTTCTCTTTATCCCAGGCCCATCAGCTGTCCTTTCTTTCTTTCTTTAAAATCACTTTTCTCCCTCTCACCCTGGGGGTCTGCAACACCTGCCCCTCCCCCGCCCCAGATCCTCAGTTCTCAGCCCAAACGCTGCTTCCTCAGGAGAGTCTTCCCTGACCCCCTCCTAAGTCAAGTATCTGGACCTTCTTCACAATTGTGTTTATGCATCTGTATGACCATTTAATTAGTGTCTGATTCCTCTACTAAATTAAGCTGCCAGAATATAGGATTCCTGTATCTCCCAGGTCCAACCACCTACATAGTAGTTGCTCAACTAATGGATTTGCTCTACTCCAAATTTATAATTCAGCATAAGGTCAACTTGAGGATTTGTCCTTACTGTAAGTTGGGTATTTAATTATCTTTCTTGCTTATGCTCTATCTCAGGGGAAACCAATAGAGCTTCTTAGAGAAAGCCCTGGGAGCTGAGCTTCAAAATTGCTGTAAACAAGGCTTTTTTTCCCACTCGAGTTTCACCTTCCAGGATCTCTTCTCTCCCTCCTCCCATTCCAGAATTCTGTGCTCACCACCCATGGAGCGTGTTTCCAACTGGGCTTTTCTGCTTGCAAGGGGCTGCTGTATCCCTCAAAGAAAGAGTCCTTAATTATATATTTCTGTTTCCATAATTACAATGTCCAGGTCTTTTATGTATACAGGGTGCCCAGAGCCATGGTGGAGGGGGTGGGCTGGGGGCTGAATGATGGAATGCTGAAGTTTTCCCTTCATCTGAGTCACAGGACAGGTAACAGTCTCAGCGTGGGAGTTATTTTTCCATTGCCATCAACTTTACTAGTCCCAGGAAAATTCTATTTGAAATTTTTTTAGCCATCTCCTTTTCTTTACTTTTCTTCTTTCCCCCTTGACTTTTCAGAAATGAGGCCTCTGGAGAAATTCTCTGTCTCTCTCTCACTTTTCCAGGCTGGGCAGGGCTCCTGAAGCTGAAGATCTGGCCTCCCAAATGCTGAAGGGCTTTCCGAGAGCCTGTGTCTCAGCCCAGGAAGCGCTGATTCACAATTATTTCAGTGTCCTGCGGACTCAGCTGCACCAGCTTCCAGACGGTGAGCGAAGGAGTTGGGGGTGGGGGTCAGATATACACGGACACACTTAAGTCTTGGTGTCTGTTTTCTTGAAGCACTGGAGAATCATAGAATTTGCAACCAGAAACATGCTTAGAGCTGGGAAAAGCAAGATGGGACAAAATCTTTCCCAAATTTTGTCTGTGGCTTTCTAAAACTCAGAAGTTGAGGGTTGAGGTGACACAGGCCTCCTTGTAACCATCCAAACATTTCCCCTATACGCACACTTAGAAAGTAGGAGAGATGAAAGTTGCCTTTGAGTTTGCTTTTGCTAGCATCTGCCAGGAGAAGCCAAACCAAAGTTTCTAACAACCCCCTTTTCTCTTTCTGTGGAGTAAGATGATAGGTGACATGGATACATCAGGAGAGGAGAGCCGGGCCTGTCTTGATTGGTAATCTGATGCTGCCCAAGGAAGTGCGGGTGGGGCATGGGGAGAGGGGAGCATCCTCCCAGGCTGGCCGCCCACAGGAAGCACAAGTTACTCTGAAATCAGCCTTGCTGCCTGGGCCTGAAGTCATCCTCCAAATCTGAAAACTGCTGAGGGGTCATGTGGCTGGAGCGCTCCTCGTGTTTCTCAGAATGTGGCCAGGAAGAGCTGTGTGGAGGTTGTGGGTAGCGCAGCCATGGCCCTGGTTGTTCGCCTGGGACCTTCCTTAGGTGGGGGTGCTTTCAAAACACCCACCATTCAAGTGATAACAGTTTTTCAAGTCCTGAGCCAGAGAAAAGAAAGCTGAGGAAGGTTGTAGGGGCTCTGACTGAGAGGAGGGAACTGGGATGGGCTGTGGTCAGGAACTACTGTCCAAGAGGGTCTGACGGATGTCTCCAGGATTTTCAGGTACAGCTCCACTGTACCTGGGATGTGATTTTGCATCCGTCCAAAGCTTTTAATTTGGGGCTTCTCGAGGTATTTTATTATTAAAGTGAGTCATTTAGGATTTCCAAAAATAACCATAATCATACAACCAGGGTTAATGTCACACTTAACCCTGTAAGAAGAGTCAGTCATCAGTATTTATTAAGTTGCCGTTAAGTGTCAAGAACATATTAAGTGCTATAAAATTTGAGGGAAAAGGGAGGCTTGTCCTTGACCTCAAGGAGCCTATGAAGTGGGAGGGAAAGAGGGTGAGGAAGAGGAAACAGGACACCCTGTACACATATTAGCACAAATCATATCTAAACAGCTAAAGTCTGTGCATAATCAGCTACAGATGTTCCGAGAATATGTGTGCACTGAAGGCGGTGCTCGGAGGAGCCGCTGTGGAACAACTCCAGTAAGACAGATGAGACTGGAGGTGACTCCGGAGAGGAATTTGGAAGGAGGGGAGGGACACGGCTTGGCCTATGGGTGGACTAAGAGACATTCCAGGCAACTTAACAATTCTTACTCCCTTCTTGGTACCTCCTCCCAAGCTTTATCCCCACCCCCCACTCCCATCTCAATACCCTCTGCCCAGTCTGAGCCCCAAGACCCCCACTCCTTAGCCTTCTCCTCTTGGGCCTGGGACTAGTCTAACTCCCACTTCATGCAAATAGACGCACCGGGGGTGTGCACACATACATTCACACCCCTTCTCTCCACTTAACAACGTATCTCCCATGGAGAGACATATATAAATAAATAAATAGAAATAAATCCTCCTCCAGGATTTATTATTCTAGGTCCTGAGAACCACTGAGGACCTTCAGAGTTTTCTGGGTACCAGCTTTTCCTTTGGAGCCATTAGCAGGAAACAATGTGTTTGTTAGAAACTCGGGTTTTGATTCTTCCTGGTCATCTGGAGCAAAGCTACCAACAGAGGGGCTGCATTGTGTGTGTGTGTCTGCCTGTGTGTGTGTGCCCACGCGGGCACAGGGGAGGGGTCCATCTGTATTCCTTCTCTGTTCACCCAGCCACGGAGCCCAAATCTACTTTGACACTTTTAGAAAAATGAAAAGATGGAATCTTGCAGGAGCCTGCCTGCGCCGAGGGGGGGGATGAGGAGCACTCACAGCAGGAGGGAAGTTGACTTTTCTTTATACATATAGGGGTTTTTCCATGCAGAGTTTAAATTATGCCTGATAAAAGGAGCTTCGTGGATGTTTCAGTTCTTTCAAATTCTCCTGGCTTCCTCCCAATTAAATGAGGTTTGTCAAAGCCACAGGGCTCTGCTGCTGCTGCCTCGGCCGACAAGCACTTCCTGCAGCGACATCTCGAATCCCCAAGGGAGAAGATGAAAGAGCCAGCGCCAAGAGACAGGGGAAGGGGGGCAGATTGTGTGTGTGTGTGCGCGCGTGTGTGTGTGTGTGCGCGCACACGCTTGGGGCGGGGGCGGTGTGCAGAAACAGGTTTAGATACGGATTGACAGATAGGACGTGGACAAGAAGATGGGGAAAGCACAACTACCACGGAAACCGGAGAGAAAAACAGAGGAAGGCAGAGCAGCACTGAGTCCAGTTTGGGCACCTTGAGGACTGTGGCCATCACCACGTGTGACATGATGCCACCATGTCTTCTAAGGGCGCCCCCTCTTGGCCTGGCAGTGCCAGGCTAATTCTCATTGTTCATGGCAACGAGCCTTTATGAAGAGCCTCCTTTGCAGATAGGGTGCAACGGGACCTCTCCGTTCCCAACCCTCAGGGACCCAGAGTCTCCACCCCAGGGGCGGGCTGCTCCAGGAGTAAGGACTGTGCAAAAGTCAGATACGCTCTTGTGAGTGCTTGGTCAAGAGAGTTTCCCTGCCATAATTATGCAAGAAATTTTGCTCTCTGGTGGCAGTATGGAATCACTTAGTGGGTTATATTTGTATCATTTTATTATTCTGGCTTTATTCCGGTTGCAGGATAACAAAGTTGTCACTTTAAAATATATTCTGTTTCCCCTTTGATCTGGGAGATGCCAGCTCTTATTGTCTGCCCTCTGACGAAGACAATTTAAGCATGAAGCCTGAGTCTGGGACGGTGAGGAGTGGAAGGACAGCCTACATCCCAGCAAAAGCGTGGCACACAAATATGCCGCCCGAATGCCAGGGCTGTTCCTACCCATCCATGTGCGTTTTCATGAAGCTGAGAGGTCCCAAATACCACTGTCCTGAGGGTGTGGCAGTAAGCTTATGCCTGGAAGAAATCGATGGGGAAGGAGTCACTTGCCACAAAAATCCAGGAATTCTAGGCTTAGTTCCCCTGCGGAGAGTATTCTTAAGTGGAAAAGCACGGTTACTAGAATGGCAAGCATGTGGAAATTTCTGCCAAGCACTGACATCCTCCCTTATTGACTCTTGAACACCTGAAGAAACATTTGTGGAAGGAGAAATTATTGGTAGTCTCTCTCAAAACACACCCAACAGCAAGCTAATTGCTTTTGCAGATGGCCGGGGAGACGTTCTACCCACACAGCCATCAGCTTATGGCCACACTTGTGGTCCTCACAGCTGAGCCAGCAGTGCAGGACGTCAGCTGGGGCAGCTAGGACCTAAAATTAGGCCCTTGGCAACTCTCTAATCTTAGCTGCAGGCTCAGCTTCTTCGTTTAATTCCCCTTGCCCTCAGCATGAACTTGGGCTCGGGGAAAAGAGCGCTGCTTAACGATTTGGAAGTGAGGGAGGAGAAAATTAGTAAGCTGCCCCTTCTAGAAACTGGCTCCACTCAGTTCTTGCCAGGCTTCCAAATGTTACCCTTGGAAAGTTAAGACTAATTTTGGGACGGAGCCATTTGGAGTCACAGACACTGATCCAGAAAAGTATTTTTTTTCATCTCAGGCAGTAAATGCCACGTGATTTAAGAGTCTGGTGCTTAAGCCATGGTCCTTGATCGTCAGAACATCAAAGGCTGTCTCTTTCTGTGGGTTGGTCCCATTTTGCTTTCCAAATCCCAGGCTTGAGCCTCTCCCATTCCTTCCTGGACTAAATCCCCCTTCTCCTTTAAAACAGGTTTCAGCATCTTAAAAAAAATTAAAACTTAAAAGCTTGCAATATTTCACAAGTAATTTTGCAAAAACAACTTACCAGAGTCCTTTTTGTCATCACATACTTTGGTACCTGTAGGCAAGGCATTAACCTCTACCCTGGAGAAGGAAATGGCAACCCACTCCAGTATTCTTGCCTCGAGAATTCCATGGACAGAGGAGCCTGGCAGACTACAGTCCATGAGGTCTCAAAGAGTCGGACTCGACTGGGCAACTAACACTTCATCACATCACTCTACTATCTATACTCTGGTAATTCATCAGCAGGCCTTATTCATTTTGCCCTCTTAAAATTGAGAAATTTTTTGTTTTGCTCCAATAAAAGAACTTCCAGCCTTCTTTTAATAATATCTCCTTAATATATTTGAAGGTTCCTCAATATCACATTAACAAAGCTGGGTTCCCTTGACCTCTCCCTCCACATACACAAACCCCCAATATAGATTCTGTTTCTTTTACCTTTTAATTATTTTGTTTCATTATTCTATTCTGAACCTATTCCAACTATCCTGCTTATCTCTGAGACTATGAACCCACCGTAGGCTCAGGTTTCTAATAGAGTGGGAGAATTGCTTTCCAGTTCATTCATGGAGGATTTGCTGAGGGTGTGTTAGACATGAGGGGCTTCTCTGGTAGCTCGGTGGTAAAGAATCCACCTGCTAACGCAGGGCACGTAAGAGACTCAGGTTCAATCCTTGAGTCGGGAAGATCCCCCGGAGAAGGAAATGGCAACCCACTCTAATATTCTTGTCAGAAAAATCCCATGGACAGAGGAGCCTGGCAGGTTACAGTCTGTGCAGTTGCAAAGAGTCGTACAAGTCTGAGCGACTTAGTACTTGAAGATTAGATAGGAGATTGAAGGACACAAAAATGCATTAGTCTTAGACTCTGTCCTCAAAGAGCTTACAGTCCTTGAGGAAATGAGACGAGAAGGTAAACAGCCACAGACCAAGTGCGAGGTGTCCTGGGAGTTAAAAGGAGGTGAGACTAATCTCCAGCTGGGGGTCCCGGACGGCCTTGTGAGGTCTCAAAAGATGGTTAA